GGCCGTAGTTTCCCCATCCCTGATTTATACCGTCGGTTTCTAATTTTTTTCGGCTACGGAACCCTAAATAATCAACGTTTTTTCGGTAGAACGCCGACTTTATAAATAAAGTTTATTAAGGTAATTGCGGACGTTATAACCTATAATTGACTTTTTTTAAAATATTTAATTGGAATTATAAAGATTTTTAATTGTTTTGTTGATAATCTGAAATTATGTTTTATGTTAGTAGTCCTTGTGCTACATCTGGTCTAGTTATGAATTTGTTTTTGGTGTATATACCTAAGTTGAAAATGAATAAAATAAAACAAATATGGGTTTACTTCAAAAAGAAGACTTAAAATACCTGCTATAAGCGTCGATAATGATTACTAGGGAAGCAAATTTTTTTATTAAAGTTATTAGTTGTTTTTATTTTGTTTTGAAAAGCTCAATGGGAAAAACTGATGCAAAATCTTATAAATGTTTGTTCTTTTCCTAATTTGTTCAATATATTGTCATTAGACAAACTACATTTTATTTTAAAAAATAGCATTTCTGTTTTTTGGCATTTTACTTGAAATAATTTCGCAAAGCCAACTGAAAGATTAAACAAATTATGAATTATGTGTCGGATCTAAATATAATCTGAGGTTTCAAACTCAACACTGATTATAAAAAGTGCTAACTCGTGGAACCCCTTTAACTCTTCCATGGAACCATAGAGTTCCGTGGAACACCATTGAAATTTTTACTCAGCTGCAAGCAAAAGACAAGGGGAACTTCTGGATTAAGTATTGGAAGAAACTTTGTCTTCGTGGAGAACTTTTTGATGGAAATAACCCACCTTTAAGTTACACAGAGAGGAAAACCATGGAAAAAAAACCCACGGTTAGCATGACCGCAAGGGGACTATAACTCCTGATCCGTCTACCACGAAGGATAGTTTAGTTTACGATAGCACTGTGGTTGGTGTGAGCCATGTGCAGAATTCGTTTCGATCAGTCATCGATGGGATTCGAAATCGGGTCACCTCACTGGGAGGCGGCACTCTGTCCTCTAAGCTATTATGGCTTAGATATTATTGAATAATGAAATATCTATAACTGGTACAGTGATTAAAAACGCCAAGTGTATGCATCCTTTGTATCCAGGTGAACCAACTGAGATATCAAGGTACAATAGCTTTATTAACCATCCATTAGTATGTGGCGTTAGCTTATACTTTGTCTTGTAACTTTTAACAAGCGCGATACATGTTTTAAATAGATTTTGATGGTGCAGTTAAATTTAATCATTAGGTTCTGCATTAGTCAATTGGCAAAAAGAAACTTACCAACTGCGACATCTGTCGGCCAATCATTCCTCTTAGCATTTTTCCCCAATTGAGATATCGTATGTCCAAGATCGGGAGAAAATGGTCCATTTACGTGGGGTTCCAACTGTAAACAATTTTTAATATATAGGGTAAACTTTGGACCAATTTTATTTCTTATATTTTTTATGTAGAAAGTAATAATTTTAAATTTCATGAGAAATACGCAATAAATTTGTTTATTAATTTAATTTAATTGCAGTTAATCGCAGAAATTTCTTTAACTTACAAAATTTCTTCACACTTAATTAAAAACATTAGGTTAAAACACTTACTTCATCGAGGTTGATTTCTATCACTTTGTCATATTCACATCCTGGATCTGGTGTTAATAGATCGTAGTACTGATCTGATAAATTTGCTATTTCTGAAAGAAGAGAGTTATTGATCGTAAAAAGTTTATTATATGTTATAAAGTTACTTACTTTATATAACATGCTGTTATAGCTTTTTAAAAGCTGTTATATAAAAGCTGTTATAACATGCTGTTATTATTTTTTTTTCTTCCAAATTTTATGTCAATAAATGCGTTTCTTCTATAAAACACAACGTAAAACGTTTTGGATTATCATACTAAGCCTTTAACTAAAATACAGATACAGAATCTAGTGTCTTTAGAGTAGACAATATTTAAAATTAAGTGATTGCTAAACCAGATAAATATACACTTGCTTTGATTAGTAATTTACTAAAACTTTACTTTTGGCTGACCATCTAATAGAAGCCATATATTTGAAAAAATGTCAACTTGAAAACTTTTTGACGGCGTTCCTACGGGTCTTAAAAAAATTAATGTGGTGCATGACATCTTGAGCTGATAGGGGCGCTTTCCTCTCATGAACCAGTTGTTCGTGGGCCTTTGAACTTACACTTTTATTTTTCTAAAATATTTTAACTTCGCATGTTAGTTTTATGTTACTATTAGTAATTGTCGAGAGTTCCATTAAAATAAGCTCAGAAATGTTTTCTTTATCGTAATTTAATGACTAGGAGAGATTGTCCAGTTAGTCGCCAAATAATTAAATTATGATAAAAGTTACGATTGTACTTATCTGAAAGCAGTTTTTGAGAATAATTATTAGAAAACAAAAAATAACAAATAATTAAAAATTATATAAATAAAAGGACCTGATGTTCAAAACGATGAAACAGTTTACAATAGGTAAGCGCCATTAAAATTTAATCCTTTTTCTGTAGTTTTGAGAAACTTTAGCAGACATTTATTTATTTTTTACAGATCGTAGCTGCCCTGTTTACTAAACCTTTCTGAATATTCAACTAAGCATATAACTAAAGCATTTTTTTAAAAAAATCTTTTTTCTTCTAAAAAGTAGAAAGAAATTTATTTTGCTTTTAATTAACTTTTGACTTTTATCTAATACAATCGTAAATACCACAATATAACAATAAAAAAATTTATTTTCCCTTTTATTGTAGTTTATGGTACCGGGCCATTTAGAGCCGGGATAGCCTGGTCGCTAGGGCGCTGGACCCATGCCCGAGAGTTCGAGGGTTCGAACCCCGCCGACCGTTAAATCTGTCGAGTCGCAAAAGTCCTCCATGTTCCCATAACAAATCAATACCTCTGGGGGTACTGGATTGGAGATCGATCGCTCTCTGATTCAGGTCAAAATTACGATCTGTGGATGAATGAATGGGTGTATGAATGGGTCCGTTCTATAAACGGGTGTGACGTATGGTGTGGCAGAAGTCGAATTCTTGGCCATAGATGGCACCACTTGTAAGCAAGAACAATCGCAACCCCTCTGCATAAACAGGCATACGTCAACAACGGGCCATTTATGTAACACATTGTACAAATATGGTTACTTCTTTGATTACAAGTTCATATTTCTATTCATTATTTTCTACATTTTTTAATTAAATTGGTTACATATGTAAATCTGGAATATTTTATCGAAGTGATATTGTAAAACTTCTTGCGATCATTACCTTCTCTTCGTGTTGCAATCAAGTAGTCTCTCATTCTTCTGTTATATGGGAAAATGGAAGTAGTTGCTCCAATTTCTGCTCCCATGTTACAAATTGTTCCCATGCCTGCAATAAATTTATAGAGTGGAGAATTAAATATTTTTTGCTGTTGTTGAGGGATATAATATTGTAGTTTTCTCTCGACATGCTAGTTTTTGGGCAATTTAATAATTTATTTCTTACCATAAATTCTTTAAAATTGGCTCGAATGAATAATACGTGACCCAACTTCTCTTGTATTTAGAGAAGGCAACAACGCGTTTCAATTTGAGTTGCGATACGTTAAGGTCATATGTTTTTTCTGTTTTAAAATTGTTACTTTCAAAGAGACAAGTTTACGCAAAGGCTGGATAAAAGTGTGGAAACACTTCTACACAATCTCTATGAGAACAATTTTTCTTTCATCAAGCAAATCTTTTGGAAAGTTTTACGTGGTACAGTTTGAAAGATCATGTCTGAAGCTTTTAGTAATGGTGCATTTTGTACCCTTGCAAAATTTACATCGACCAAAATAAGTGTAGGAAGTTAAAAGCTTTCTTTCTTTTTTAAAATACCACTATAATTTCCGAAAGTATTTTATATTTATATCGTAATCCTATAATATAATTTAAGAAATGCTGAACTTGAAGCTATAATGCCGAGACTATGTCGAAACTTGAAATATTTGAAAAAAATATTTTGGCCGAAGACGCTTATATTCTGCAGAAAACAACAGTATTTCTTAAAATAACTCAGATAAATTTATGTAGCTTTTGTTATTAATGATTTCAAGAAGCCAAAATGCTAACAGCAATGCTATTTACTAATTTTTTTTAAAAAAAGTTCTTTTAGTATTATAGTATTAGATCATGGAGCAAAAGACAGTGAATTGTCATGTTTCGTGAGAGTCACCCAGCTACGCTTACAAAATTCTCTTATGATAAAAAGGGTGTGCGATACTATAGATTCATCACTATTCTACGGCATTTATAATGAATTTGAAAGTGAAAATTATTTTTAGGAAACATGATTAAGGAAGTTTAGAAATAAAGTTTTTGATTTAATTTTGTGTAAATAATTAAGAGCTGGCAAGCGTTTACGTTCAAAGAGTAGTTCTTGTTTTTCTTAAAAAGATAAAAACTGGTTCATGATCTCTGTGATAGATTAGTCATGTAAACTCCTTAAATTGGATCTTACTTTTCTTATTAGTTGGAAATATAATTTTTTTTATTAACTTTAATGGCACTACGTAGAAAATTTCCATTTGATTTAAAGATGCAATTAATTTTACTATTTTCATAATATTTGTTTTCACCTCATTTCTTTTTAAGAAGTCGGACACTTTTGAGTTAAAACAATACATAGTAGGATGAATTAAGAAATTCCAAATGACACTCTTAATTCTTTTAATTTCAATTTAAGAATTAATTTAATGTAATTTAAAATGTTTAAACCTACCAGAAGTACGCCACCACATGGATGTATTCATATCACCGAAAATTATTGCCCGTCATATCATATCAACGACGCCACTTCGTCGACTTGATTACTTCGCCGACGTGAGCATTTCGTGGACACGATTGTTTTGTGTCTCTCACAAAGTCAGCATAAAATATGTTAGCTATTACGATTCCTATTTACGCTTTACGCATTACGATTCCTATTTACACTTTTATTAAATCACCAGTGTAAAAAAAAAGAGAACAGCTAAAAAGAACGAGTTTTAACTATTTTTTTAAAAATTACTCCGGTAGGGAAAATTAAAATTAAGCCTATATAATGATACGAAGATGGTTAAAAATAGACAAATTTACCTGTACAAGAAATCGATTCAACTCCTGGACCAGTGTATTCCAGGATCGAACCAGTCCCACCTTTAACTGTTAATATTGCGGCTACTTTCAAAATTACATCTGAAATGAATGATAAAAGACTTGAATTACTAATCTGGCTACTAATTACTAATATATATATTGATATTCTTCGTTCCACACAGTTTGAACTTTATACCTCGCTGAAAGTCCAAAAAAAGATTTTGGGGGACTTATATCACAAATGGAATCAAGATTAGTCGCCTGTTTCGCCAGAAAGCCAGCTCTTTCATTACCCAGAACACCGGAGTGGCCTCGTACATGTGAAAAGAGCACAGATTTACCCTCGGATTGGAGTTCATTTAAAATAATCTGCGAATTTACAATAATTCTGTTAAATGAAGTAATACATTTAAGTGCAAAAAGGGATGAAAGGGAATCTGAACAGATGAGGAATTTTGATGAAAGAGATGAGTTGTTTGAGATCCATTTAATAGAGTGGTAAAGACACAAAAGCTCAGNAAATGCGTTTCTTCTATAAAGGTAAAATAGTTCTCACAATTATAAAGTTGATAAAAAAACTGTCATTCATACCTGTCCATCTCTTTCGATTGTATCTTTTATCTGAAGTGATCCCGGAGTGACGTAAAACTTGGATTTTGCCTTTATTCCTTGCTCAAGGATTTGTTTGGCTACAGATGCAGCTCTCGACATATCTTCATAGCTACTGTTCGTGCAACTTCCGATGAGTCCTGAAATTCAGTAGCAAAAAAATACGGTTAAGATACAAAGAAGCTCATAAAGCAATCATGTTACAGAAAACAATTACGAATAAGCAATGATAAAGTAAAATGGTTATTGTCACCTTGGTACAATTCAGTTTTCAGAATTCAGTAACTACTCAGCATATTCAGTTCAGTTAAACTAGAATTCAGTTCAATTAATGACATTTATGGATGAGTGCATGGCTTAGCATGATTTATACCAGGGATGGGCAAACTTTTTCGGTCGAGGGCCAAAAATCGAAAAAAAAGATGTTTGGTGGGCCAAATAAAGCTTTCAAAATTTAAAAAAAAGCGAAGTTTTAATTTAAATATTTAGTGAGAT